GCGCTCGAATGCGAGCACTGGAGTCCGACACAGAACAGAACAGAACAGAAAATCATTTTGGGGGCTCCTTACAAAAAATATAGTATCATAGGCCCCAAGACCCTATTCTAATTATCAAGACCCCTGTATTATTCATGGCAATCCATGAGCATGATCACCTTGAAAGAGCATTGCGTCTTGAGTGTCTGGGTCTAGTGTTTCTTCAGCGGCCTGGGTAACTACCAATACATCTCCTTAGGGCACCTTATTGCCCATATATTTACAGCATATCCTAAAAACTCAATTATGCCTTCCTCAATAACCCTCTCTCATCCCTTTGACAGACATTCGGGTGCAAGCAGCGCTTCTCGAAATCCTAGACCCTGAAATCCTATAGACCCTAAACCTACGTCCCGGATCAGCCCTAAAAAAGGGCCTTAAAAAGTATCGATATTATTGTAGAGGTTCCTTATTCTAAATATAGTATAATGGGCCCCAAAACCCTATTCTAATTATTAAGGCACCTACATTTCAAGTCTAAACCCCAAACCCTATACCCAAAACCCTGCGAGCCCGATAAGCCTACACCCCGCCGAACCAGACTCGTAACCCCCACGCTTGATGATCTAAATCCTGCATTACCCACAATAAGGAATATAGCATAATTCCAAGAGTTTAGGGCCCTTCAGGTAATGCAGGTTTTATATCATCAACAGTATAGACCCTGTACTTCACTGTAAACGCAGGAGTGGAGGGTTCTGAAGAAGGCGCTGCAGCCAGATTGGGTCGCTTGGCAACTTTCTTCTTGTTTTGGGTTTATATAAGTCAGGGTTTAAGGTTTTGGGTTTGGGATTTAGGGTGATTCAGTTTCTCCTGGTACATGGCAATTGCTGTTTGTGCTGCCTGTCTTCCAAGACTAATATTGCTACATCTCGCCGCTTGCTATCAGTTTTTGGCAGAGAGGCTTGCAGGTTCATGGTCAGAGTGTTGCTCAAGAGCTGAGCATTTCGGGTTTCGGATTTAGAGCTTAGCATGGAGCGCTCTTCGGGTGCCCACACCCAAAGTCTGAGTATCCTAGCAAGAGGGCCACGGTCGCCCTGTCTGGGCCGAAGGCTTGGGGTTTCTGAATGATACCAGGGCCTCCAGTATCCACTGCCATGGCCTGCATGTGGAAAGTACCTGAGGTTCGAAATCACGGCCCTGAATAGCCCGGAACGTTAACCTCTAAGGAAGCGTAGAGGTTACGGGTTGAGGGATGTTGAGGGTCTGTATGGCATACAATGCAGAATGATCATTGTTGTGTTGTATTATATTTTCCATGTCAGATCAATCAACCGAATGCCCTATCGGTTATGTTACATTGTATTCATGGCCCCAAATGGCCTTGTTACCCTGGTTCCTGTTTTTTGAATTCGTAACCCTTAAGATGCCACCCCTCGCAAAACATTGAAAGCAAGGGACGCGGTTCCTCAGATTCGGAGACCTCTTGCTGGTCGTTTCCTTCTGTGGCACTACCAAAACAGGCCCGAAGTGGTAGTAGTAGTCGTCGTAGCAGTCGTCGTCGTAGTAGTAATAGTGGGGGTAGTGTGCTGGTGGTACTGGTGGTACCTGTGGTACTGGTAGTTCTGGTAGCAGTGGCAGTAATAGCATCAAGAGTGGTAGTGGCAGTAATGGTAGGGGTAGGGGTAGGGGTAGGGGTCGGGGTAGGGTAGGGTTAGGATCAGGAGTAGGAGTCGGAGTACGGGTTAGGAGTCGGGCCCGAGGAGGAGTTGGGTAGGAGGAGGAGGAGGAGTCGGAGGAGGAGTAGGGGTCGCAGCAGGTGTAGGAATAGGTGTAGGCGCAGGCTTAGGAGTCGGAGTGGCAGTGACAGCAGCAGTAGCCGGAGCAGGAGGACCCTAAACTTACACATGGGTGGTTGTCAAAATTATGGTCCCTTTTTGGGTCCTTATTATAATACGGCACCTATTATTTAGGGTACCCCAAAAGGGACCATAAACTTGACAACTACCCACATGCTTCCACTCTCGCGCTGTAGGAGCTGGGCATGGTCAAGCCCGGAGACACGGTGGTGGCGATCCACGGTCAGCGGGAGGAGTGCCCAGGTCGGGGCCAAAGGATCTCAGGGTTTAGGGTTTGGGAACCCCCCCCCCAACTCACCCTGTCCCCAATATACTTGTGATCCTTACAGCTGTGGCCTTTAGATACCGCTCAGCAGCAGTTTGCTTGAGTATTGATATCATGGTCAAGAAGGATATCGCCAACAGCAGGAGAACTGGCATGATGTCAGGAAGAGGCTGACCTTGAATGTGATAGTAGGAATTGGCGGGAGAGCAGCAGCTTGACATAATATCCGTGCTGCTCCGCAGACTAATCACTTCTGATACCAACACCAGCCGCAGATAGTCGCAATATGCGTGCAAGGATGAAGTAAGTAGTAGCAACGATGGTGGGCTGAGGAGGCAGGGTCGTGGCTGGGAATAGTTCTTGATATGTTAAAAGACCTTTCAAGACAATGAACAGCAACATAGACGCCTGGCATAGGCAAAAGGTACATGACAACTGCATGCAACAAGACCTCCTTACAGGAATGACAATGGCAGTGCTCGAACAAGCTGCTGAGTTGGTGTCATGACATTACTTTGCACATGGCCTTTGTTCTTGCATGTCCCGCATTTCACCTTTCCTGAATGACCGTGTTGCTAGCCTCCCGCCCAAGCATCAGGCACAGAGCCCGACATGTTTGAAGGGGCCGTACTGTGCCACATCAACGGACTTATCAGGCATCAGATTTATCAGTTCACGGAAGGAAAGGCGGCAGATCTTGCCATGTAGCCACCATGCCCAACAAATGAACACTGCGCTGCTGGAAACGCAGCGGTTCATTCACCTAAATTACGTACAGCTTGTCGAAGGTCAGTCCAACCTCATGAAGGTTGCCATGCGCTCAGATTCTGGCCGCCCTTTCAGGTTCGCCCCAGCTGCATGTGCCTGATGATTTCAGGTGGTGTGTCCTTGAGTGCTGAACCGGCTGGTGGCTTCATAACTCAAAGCAGTCTGCATCCAAGCGGCAGGAAATGCGAATACCAGTTACAACCTACTCAGTTAACCACTGTTCTGTGAAATCGCTGTTGCCTTTTGGTTTCTATAGGCGCAGAAGAGAACACCTGAACATCTTTGAACTCACTGCTGCACCATGCCCATCGATTAAGACAGACCGCCGAGTCAAAATCTCTTGCGGTGAGAGGCCAGGCCGAGCCGGACTTTCCCGACCTTTCAAACCTTCTCCCCATCTCCCGTTTTCCGACTTGTGACAGGGTGCAAAATGCGACTCCAGTGCAGTGTGAGCTTTGCGGCAAAGATTTTGGGACGTGCGACCCACACACAAGTGCAGATTTGCTCTGAGCATTAAACGCTAGACACGGGCTTTGAAGAAGGAGCACGTCTGGTCACCGCCCTCTTCTACAGAGTTAGCACCTGCAAGCCCCACTGGCGATGGTGATGGAGAGCCAGGGAGAAAAGGCAGACAGCTCTCTACTTCCAATCCGTCTGACGGAGTGAAGAGTATTGACTTGCCTCTAACTGAAAGAAATGCCGCAGCTCATCGTAGCTCGTAGGTCACAGAGGCACAAGCAAGAGAACTGCCCTTCGCATATGAAATCGTAGCGGTTGCATACTGGCAGCTCACAAGCCCAACTCTTTCAGATCCAAGAAGTGGGCCACGGATACTCTACGAGTTTCATCTGCGGTCAGCTTGGAAACCTTTCGTTTTTTCTTAACAAGCCATTCAGATTCATTTAAAGAGCATGCTGCGCTTGGCCAATCATCCGCCTCTCAGTGCAGCACCTTGGCAATCACTGAGACTACAGTGTGCAGAAGCGCCTTGTCTGGCTGTTGCTGCTGTAGTATTTTCGGAGTATGAATGGCACATAATGGCACATAATGGCAGTGGCTGTTGCTAGGACGGATGCGTCTGCTGTGCTTGCCGCTGCCACTGCAACCACTGCATGTGAATGCCTGTGAAGCGAGGTGGCTCCGGCTCCGTCTCGATGGGGATCTACCCGAACAGCTCAGAAGCGAGGAGGCCGTGACCTGTTTTGCTTCGGCTCGTTGATTCTTGCAGCGTCAGGCCTCGAATCTTGCGTGCCATAGACTCGACTTGGTGGCGGTTGTTACTATTGTTACAATGTCCAGGGAACGGTCTTGCAGCCGTGTTTTTCCCTCCGGATTTCTGACTCCTTGCACTGTGCAAGTCGCTTCGGCTTCGGGAGGCATGTCTGGCACGACGTGTCTTTCCATGGCAAGCGCAGAGCTGAGAAGAGCTGAGCAGAGCGTCCTTTCTTGTCCACACCATGAAATCCCAAGGCTTTCTATCCGTGGGACATGCAGTGAAAATGCTGCTGCCTAGAAAGGCCCAGCAAGGAGGTGCGAGAAGAGCACAGCGGAAGCTCGAAGTGCAGAATTTCGAGAACTTGCCGACACTCTCTGTCAGCCCAGACCTATCCAAGAGAGACTTTGGCCTTTTGCCGCCCATGCCGCCCCTTCTTCTGCGACACTCTGAAAAGATCACCTTGGTGGACTGTGGGAGTGGCTCTACCCGGGCGCTCTTCTTCCAAGACGATGGCAAGTCGCACGTTTCCTGGGAAAAGTCTTCTTGGAGAGGCCACCAGTGTGATAACGATACCCACGCTGTGACGATGGTGCTGTTGATGAAGATGATGATGGAGATGGTGATGGTTATACGTACGGTTTCACATGTGATGCTGCGGCCGTTTTGCTGATGATGTTCGGGAGTGTCACCAACGTGCTGATGCTGTTGCCGTGGTCGTGTTGTGGTTGTGGTTGTGGTTGTGGCTGTTGTTTTTGTTGTTGCTGCTGCTGCTG